TGAACACCGGCGGTCCCTGGCTCTCGCGCCATCCGGCCCGCTACCCGTCGCGGGCGATCCGGACCCCCGCCGCGTGCAAGCGGGCGTCCGGCCGGAGGACATGGCGGTAGGTGGCGCGGAGGTGGGAAGCCGGGGTGAAGCAGGATCCGCCGCGGAGCACCATCCGGCCGGACATGGACTTGCCGCTCGTTTGGCCGAACACCCCCGTCGGCCGGAAGCGGGGGTAGGGGAGGTAGGCGCTCGCCGTCCACTCCCAGGCGTCCCCGAAGAGCTGGACCGGGCCCGGCCTTCCACCGGGGCCGGGGCCGGATCCCCCGGGACGGGTCCCTCTCGGCGCGGGCGTCGGCCGCAGGCCGCCGTTTTCGAGGAACGTCCCCGCGAGCGGCCGGTTCGCCGCCGCCGACTCCCACTCGAACTCGGTGGGCAACCGCGCTTCCCGCCAGCGCGCGAAGGCGTCGGCTTCGAAGTAGCTCAGATGGATCACCGGGGCATCAAGGGCGAGCGGCAACAGCCCGCCGAGCGAGAACTCGGCGAAGTCGTCGCCCTGCCGGACCCAGTAGAGCGGCGCCTCCCAGTCGCCCGCCACCCGGGCGTCCCACCCGTCCGAGAGCCACAGCGAGGCCTCGCGGTAGCCGCCCTCCGCGACGAACTCGAGGTACTCCCCGTTCGTGATCAACCGGGAGGCGAGCTGGAACGGCTCCACCAGCCGCTGGTGGCGGGGCCTCTCGTTGTCGTAGGCGAACCCCGCTCCCTGGTGGCCGAAGGGCAGGGTGCCGCCGGCGAACGAAACGAAACGGAGCGGCGACGCTTCTCCCCCGCGCGTCTCGTCCTCCGCCTGGTGGTACGCCGGGGTGAGCGGATTCAGCGAGAACAGGTGCTTCAGGTCGATCAGCAGCCGCTCCTGGTGCTGCTGTTCGTGGTGCAGCCCGAGCAGCACGATCTCCCGGATCTCGTCGGGAAGCTCGCCTTCGAGGAGTTCGGCCACCCCGTCGTCCACCTGGCGCCGGTAGTCGAACACTTCGGCCACCGTCGGCCGCGACAGGAGGCCCCGCACGCGCCGGCGCTGCCGGCCGCCGCCGGCGCCGGATACGCCGAACACCTCCTGGTACTCCGGATGCGGTGGGCAGTACCCGGTCCCGTCCCGACTGAGCACGCCCTCCCGCGCGAGCACAAACGTCTCGAAGAACCACGAGGTGTGGCCGAGGTGCCACTTCGCCGGACTCGCCCCCGGCATGGACCCCACCACGTAGTCCTCGATGGCGAGCGGCGCCACGAGTTCCGTGGTCTGCCGCCGGACCCGGCGAAACGCCTCAAGCAACGCGGAACGAGTCTTGGAAAGCGTCCCGGAAGGAGTCCCGGCAGGAGTCATGCCGCCCGCGGTCCCCCGTCAGCCGGACGCCGCGCTCGCGGCCGCCGGGGCCACCGGGACTCCTTCGGCCACGCTGTCACCGGGATACACGATGACCTGATCGCCGACCTCCAGCCCGCCGAGGACCTGTGCTTCCCGCTGGTTGCGCTCCCCGATCTCGACCGCCCGCTCGCTGGCCATTTCGTCTTGCACGACGAAGACCGCCCAGTTCGCTCCCCGGCGGAAAAGCGCCCCGACGGGCACCTTCACCTGATCCTCCTGCTCCCAGACCACCACCCGGGTTTCGACCCGGTAGGCGTCGCCCAGGCTGGACCGCGCCGCGTAGGGCTCCTCGAGTTCCATGACCACGTTGACGCGTTGCTCCTCGACGCCGAGGGCCGAGATCTTGGTGAAACCCGAGGGTTCGACCCGCAGGACCCGGCCGCGGAGCGGGCGGTCGCCGCCCCAGCGGTCGATGAGCGCGGACTGTCCGGCGCGCATCCGCACCGCATCGTTCGAGAGGTAGTCGGTGACGACTTCGAGTTCCCGCGGGTCCCCGACCTCGAGGAGCGGCTCGCCGGCAGGAACCACCGCCTCGCTCTCCCGAAGCCGCCGCAGCACGACGCCGTCCACCGGCGAGAAGATCTGGATCGCTTCCGGATTCCCCGTCCCGGCGTCACCGGGGCGGAAACGGAACCGCTGCACCCGGGCCCGGGCGACCGCCAGCTTGCCGCGCGCATCGCGGACCGCGAATTCGGCCGCCTCCAGCGCCTCCTGGCGGGTGTCGAGCTCGAGCTGCGCGATTTCGAGCTGCTCTTCGGAGGTGACGCCCTCTGCCTCGAGGCGGCGCAGGCGGTTCAGCGTGGATTCGGCGAACGCGCGCTCCTGCGCGGCCTGCTCATGGAGCGCCTCGGCCCGACCCACCATGGCTTGTGCGGCTTCGACGGCGGCCTGGGCTTCCGCTCGCTGGCGGGGGTCGAGCGGCACCGGGGACGCGGGCAGGAACGAGGCGAGCACGCTCTCGGCGGCCAGCACCGGGTCGCCGGGGTTCGAGCTCGATGCGGAGCACGCGCCCGGCCACCGGCGCCGAAATCTCGAACCGGTCGCGGACCCGGGTTTCCCCCTCTTCGTCGAGCGTCACCGAGAGCGTCCCGCGCACCACCGAGGCCATGTCCACCGGCACCGGGCGGGGCCGTGAGGCGAGGGCGATCAGCGCCACGACCACCACCAAGGCTCCGCCCCAGAGGACGAACCGCCGTCTCTTGTTCATACCTTTTACTCCCGGGTCTTCAGGACTTCGACCAGATCGAGGCCGTTCAATTTACGGCGAACCACGAGCAACGACAGCCCCATCGCGACGACCACCGCGCCGGACGCCAGCGCGAAGGTGCTCGCCTCGGCGACCATCGGAAGCCGGAACAGTTCCGTTTCGAAGGCGGCCAGCATCCCGGCGAGCATCGAGTAGCCGAGCCCCAATCCGACCGGGATCGCCACCGCCGTCAGGATCCCGAGTTCCCCGAACAGCACGACGCCGATCTCCGAGCGCGTGAAGCCCATCACCCGCATGCTCGCGAGTTCGCGGCTGCTCTCCGAGAGCGAGATGCGGGCGGTGTTGTAGATCACGCCGAACGCGATGATGAGCGCGAACAGGAGGTTGATCGCCATCGTGGAGTTCATGTTTTCGGCCACGAAGGTGTCGAAGTTCTCGAGCATCGCGTGCCGGAGCGCCACTCCCGCAACCACCGGCATCTTCTTGAGCGCCTGGTAGACCTCCTCGCGCTGTGCCGGATCGATGCCGAGGGCGGCCCCGTTCATGTTGGCGGTGTCGCCGAGGAAGCGCTGGAGCGCGTCGGGCTCCAGATAGGCGGACATGCCCATCAGGTCGTCCACGAGTCCCCCGACCGCCATGTCGCGCACCGGCCGGGTGCCCTGGAGCGCTTCCACCCGGATCGTCTCCCCGGGTGTCACGTCGAGAACCTCGGCGAGCTTTCGCGACAGGACGAGTCCGGCCCGGTCGAACTGCACCGGCCGGTAGTCGGATCCCACCACCCGCTGGAGGCGGGCGTCAGGCTGAAACGCCTGAATCGCGACCTGCCGCTGCCGGCTTCCGTTCCGGAGGCGCACGGCAGCTCCGTTCGTGGCTTCCACCTCGACCACGCCGGGGACCGAGGCGAGCTCGTAGTAGGCGGCGCGCCCCTCCGGTTCCACGAAGGTCACGGTGACGTCCTGACGCTGGACCACGTTGAACTGGATCTCCATGAGCTCCGCGAACGAGTCCATGGAAGCGCTCGCCATCACCATGATGGCGGCGGAAAAGGCGATCCCCACGATCGACATCGCGGCCCGGAGCGGCCGGCGCGACAGGTTCCGAAGGACCATGCGGATCGGCTGGGAGAGGAAGCGCCGGAGCCCCAGCCGCTCGAGCAGGGATACCCGGAACTTCTCGGGGGCGGCGGGGCGCATCGCCTCCGCGGGCGGCAGGCGCACCACGCTCCTCACCGCGGAGGCCGCTCCCAGGACGGCGGCCGCCCCGCAGGCGAGCAGCGTCGCGAGCAGGCTCGACCAGTTCCAGTGGGCCACCAGCGCGGGGAACGTGTAGTACTCCAGATAGAGCGACAGCATCCCGCCGCTCATGAGCGCCCCCAGCCCGATTCCGAGGGCCCCCCCAATGATCGAGACCAGCACCGCCCACTGGATGTAGTGCACCCCGAGGCGCAGGTTGGAGTAGCCGAGCGCCTTGAGGACGGCGATCTGCTCCCGCTGGACCGCGATCAACCGCCTCAGAACCACGTTCAACAGGAAGGCGGCGATTCCCAGGAAGATCGTGGGCAACACCACCGCCATGCCGCGGAGCCCCGTGATCTCGTTCTGCAGGTACCAGTTGGAGACCTGCAGCGCCCGGGGGATCGCTCCCAGGCCGCCGTAGGGCTCGATGAGGCGGTCCAGTTCGGCGATCGCCGGCGCGGCGGGGGCGCCCTCGGCGAGCGACAGCGAAATGTCGTTGAAACCACCCTCCATGTCGAAGGCGGTGGCGAGATGCCGGCGCGTCAGCCAGAACAGCCCGAAGCGCTTCGGGTCCGGAAACAGGTCGCCGCCCGAGATGGCATAGACGTACTCGGGCGAGAGAACGGTGCCCACGATCTCCAGCGGTTGGCGGCGGCCGTTGATCACCGCGGCCACCTCGTCGCCGAGTGCGAGGCCGTGCGCCTTCGCGAACCGCTCGTTCACGAGCGCTTCCTCGCCGCGTCCCGGGTCGGGCCAGCGGCCGCTCCGCAGGACCACATCGTTCAGGACCGGGCGGCCGGTGTCCGGCACCGAGATCAGCCGGCCGTTCACCGGCTCGGTCATCCCGGGCACATCGAGGGTGACGCCCACCACCACGCGGGTGGACACCTTTTCCACGCCGGGCAGCTCTTCGAAGCTCTCGGCGAGCCAGCGGGGGGCCCGTTTGGTGCCGGCGAAGACGTCGGCAAACTCGGTCTGGGCGTAGTAGCGGTCGCGGGTGGATTCGAGCGAATCGAAGCAGATCAGCGACGCCACCAGGAGCGCGATGCCCGCCGCCACCACCACCGAGATGGCGAGCGCCATCGAGCGCACCCGCCACAGGTCGCGCAGCAGCTTGCGGTCGAGCGCGCGGATCATCCTCGGTCCCTCACCACTCGATGGTCGAGGCGGCGGCCCGCGTCCCGTTGACCCGCTGCTGGGAAATCCGGCCGTCGGCCAGCGAGATGACCCGGTCGGCGATCGTCGCGATCGCCGCGTTGTGGGTGATGATCGCGGTGGTGGCGCCGTATTCGCGGTTCACCCGCTCGAGCGCTTCGAGCACCTGGATCCCGGTGGTGATGTCGAGCGCTCCCGTCGGTTCGTCGCACAGCAGGATGTCGGGCCGCTTGGCGATGGCCCGCGCGATGGCCACCCGCTGCTGCTCGCCCCCGACATCTGGGAGGGGAAATGGCTACTGCGGTCGGCGAGTCCGACGATGTCGAGGGCCTCCTGTGCGGGGAGCGGATCCTCGGAGATCTCGGTGACGAGCTCCACGTTCTCGCGCGCGGTGAGCGAGGGGATCAGGTTGTAGAACTGGAACACGAACCCCACCCGGCGCCGCCGGTACTGGGTGAGTTCCCCTTCGTCCGCCCGGGTGAGATCCTGGCCCCGGTAGAGCACCTGCCCGGAGGTGGGGACATCGAGTCCCCCGAGGATGTTCAGCAGCGTGGATTTGCCGCTTCCCGAAGGTCCGAGCAGGACCGTGAACCCGCCGACCTTCAGGTCGACGCTCACGCCGCGGAGCGCATGCACCTGGACCTCGCCCATCTGGTACACCTTGGTGACGTCCCGCATGGAGACGGCGAGGGAGCCACTCGGGGAGCCGTTCGGGGAGCCGCTCGGGGCGGCGGCGGTTCCGTTGCTGCTTCCGTTCAATTCGGCGCTCTGGTCGTTCGGCTACCTATACGGTGCGCAGCGTACCCCGTTCCGCCAGCGCCGGCCAGTTCTCCCGGTGGAGGCCTTCAGACCGGCACCGCCCGCGCAGCGGGCGAAACTCCCACCGCCGACCGAGCAGAAGCGCGGGGACGGCTTGGACCGCCGGTCTTCAGACCGGCATCGCGGCCGAAGGCCGCGAAACTCCCACCGCTAACGGAGCAGAAGCGCGGGGACGGCTTGGAGCGCTCGCCTCCGGCCGGCATCGCGCGGGAGCGCGAACCGGCGCCCGATGATGCTGCGCCCATGCCACGTGACTGCCGCACCCTCTCCCAGCACGGATGGCACGACGACTTGCCGCTTCCCTCGTACGTGCGCTGGCGTGGGAGCACCCACGCCGCGGTGTCTCCGGACAGGAACAGTCAGTTCGTGAGCAGGTATCCCAGGACCACCAGCCACACGGTCAGCGAGATTCCGAGAGCGCCCCAGATCAGCCGCATTTCCCGCCTGATCCCGTCCAACTTGACGTCGACAACCTCGTTCACCCTCTGGACCTCAGCCGCGAGAGCGTCCAGTCTGCGTTCCTGTGCGTCGAACCGCTGTTCCAGTGCGTCGAACCGCTGTTCCAGCGCGTCGAACCGCCGTTCCTGCGCGGCGAACATCTGGCGCATCTCCACCAGGATCGGCTGAACCTGCGTGGCGACCGCCTCGGAAACCATGGACTTCGTCCCTTCCTCCGCATTGTAGGCGACCATCGCGTCGGCGCCCCCGTCCACGAGGGCGCGGAAGAGGGCGCCCTGAACAGCCTGTGGCAAAACCCACGCGGCGTTCGACCGGCGATCCATCCCGGCTGAACCACTCCGCTTCGCTGCGTTCTGCGTTGCGTTTCGGTCGAAATACACCCGGTATTCCTCCCTCACGCGCCTTGTCAGCCGGGCGCCTCACCGGCCTCGGCGCTCACGTGGGTTTCACCACAGGCTGTTAGTTCTTGGTTTTCGAGGGGTTTCGGGTGGCTGGGGTTCAGGCTTCGGCGGTTGGGGCGGCGGGGAAACCCCGTCGGGCGGTTTGCTCGCGGCCTCTGCCTTGGTCTCAGCAGCGTGCGCCATGGGGAACTCCTCCGGGGATATGCGGTCAGCGGAAGACCCGATGTCCTCCGCTATCCCTATAGACGAAATCCGGCCCGTTTCTTCTCACCTGCCACGGTGATGTTGAAAACTCGGCGAGAGGCCGCCGCACCCGGAGGAACCCGCGCTCCGCCGGTCGGAACCCGGACCGCTACCGCCGCTGCGCGATCAGGATCAGCAGGTGGCGGTCCTCGTCGGACCTGAGCGGCATGGTCGCCGATCGGTTGCCTCGTGCCTCGCCCGCACGTCGACCGTTTAGTTCGTGAGCAGGTATCCGAGGACCACCAGCCACACGTCAGCGAGATTCCCAGAGCGCCCCAGATCAGCCGCATTTCCCGCCTGATCCCGTCCAACTTGACGTCGACAACCTCATTCACCCTCTGGACCTCAGCCGTCAGGGCGTCCAGTTTGCGTTCCTGCGCGTCGAACCGCTGTTCCAGCGCGTCGAACCGCTGCTCCAGCGCGTCGAACCGCTGCTCCAGCGAGTCGAACCGCCGTTCCAGCGCGGCGAACCGCCGTTCCTGGCGGCGAACATCTGGCGCATCTCCACCAGGATCGGCTGAACCTGCGTGGCGACCGCCTCGGAAACCATGGACTGTGTCCCTTCCTCTGCATTGTAGGCGACCATCGCGTCGGCGCCCCCGTCCACGAGGGCGCGGAAGAGGGCGCCCTTAGTCCTTGTTTTTCGAAGGGTTTCGGGTGGCTGTGATTCAGGCTTCGGCGATTGGGGCGGCGGGGAAACCCCGTCGGGCGGTTTGCTCGCGGCCTCTGCCTTGGTCTCAGCAGCGTGCGGCATGGGGAACTCCTCCGGGGATATGCGATCAGCGGAGAACCCGATGTCCTCCCTCTACCCCCATAGACGAAATTCCGGCCCGTTTCTTCTCACCTGCCACCCGTGATGTTGAAAACTCGGCGTGAGGCCGCCGCACGCCAGCGGACGAGGCACGCGGCGCCCATGCATCGTGCTGCGTTCAGTTATAGCGACCTTAGGGGGTTTATCGGATTTCGATAAGACTCCTAATGTCGCTATAAAACCGGAGCGGGGTGATGCTGGCGGGCCCCCGGCGCGGGCCGGCACCCCGGGGACGAGGCCGCGGATCTTCGCACCGGCGTCGTCGCACGATGGGCGTCGAAAACGCGGAACTCCAGTCTCGGTTGTGGCGTCGACTCCGGGTATTCATCAGCTCATGAGGTCGGATTTCCCCTGATACGGTTCGACACGGGACCGTAGAAGAACACTGTGCAGACCGCTGGTCCTCGGCAGGAAGTACCGCGCGGCCCGGTCGGACAGGTGCTGACCTACGAGGGACACTCCAAGATGGCGCTCGTGGACCTCGGCAGGGATGCCAGTGACGCACTGCGAGCATCCTGGCCCACGTCTCGCCCGTTCCAATCCGGCGGAGTCATCGAGAGCGCCTGGCTGCTGCCGCTGCTCGGCGCGGGAAGCACCACGGCGTCCTCCTTGCTCGCCGGCAACGTGTTTTTGGCGACGGCCAATCCGGCGACGCTCATGACCATCGGTTCGGGGCTCGGATCGGCCGTCATGGGAGCGGGAGGAATCGTCGCGCAGGCGCCGTTTGTCGCCGCCAGCAGCGCCCTGATGCCGGTTGTGGCGCCGGTGATGTTCTTCACGACCGTTTCGTCGGTAGTGATGGGTGCGCGCCTCGACCGGGTGCAGAGGAGTCTCGGAAGGCTTTACGACGCTGTGGAGGGCGTGCGTCGCGTGCTGGACGCCGATGACTACGCGCGGTTCGAGACGGCCGCGGAACAAATCGAAGACATCCAGTCCGAATTCGAGGCCCGGCAGCGATTCCCTGACGATGCGGGTGCCAAGCTCGCGCTGGTCAAGAACGAAGTCAAACAGTTGCGGCAGAAGTACGGACGACTGTTGACGGGAGACATCGATTCGGAGGACTCCGCCCGGTCGGCGGTGTCGGATCTCAATCGGTTCTTCCTCGCCAGCCTCCATGACATTCAGGCCGACCTGCTCCGGCTGTATCTGGCGCTCCAGAGCGATCCGGACTTCGTCGAACTCCGCCAGTCGCGACTCCGCCAAAAGATCGAGCGGTACGGCGAGGACTTCCGACAGATCCTGAACGACGATCGGCTTGGGGCCTTTCACCGGAAACTGAAAGAAGACCTGGCGAAGTCAAAGTGGCGATGGCTGCCTGGCGGCTGGCGCATTCCCCTCGGCGGCGGACTGGCCGCAACGACCCGGAACGTCCGGGCCATCCGCAAGGATTTCCATTCGATTCGGGCGCGTATCAAGCGGTGGATTGATGCGTTTGAGTCGTCGCGGGTCCGTCGCCAACACTCGATCGTCATCTACCGTGAGCCAGCCGGCGAGCGCACGTTACGCGCGGTCCGCACGCGCGACCTTCGACTGCAACTGGCGGTTGCGTAGGTGTTACGGGCGCTGCCCCGCACTCGCGCTCGTGGGGATTCGCGGCGTCATGTTTCACCCGCCTCCGGCGGGCGATGCCGACCTGGAGGTCGGCGGTCCCTTGCTTCCGCGCCGCGATCGCTACCGGCGTCCCGGGGTCAGGGGACCGTCACTGGGTTCCGTCGCCGGCGCCGCCGGGACGCGTCCTCCCCGCTCAGCCGCCACACCCGGCGCGCCCGTGCCGCCAGATCGTCGAGCAGGGTGTAGAAGAAGGGCAGGATGACCAGGGTGAGAACCGTGGAGGCGGCGAGTCCGCCGATCACCGCCCGCGCCAGCGGGAAGTAGTAGAGACCGTCCAGCCCGGTCCGTCCGATCGCCATCGGGAGGAGGGCGAGCATGGTGGCGCCGGCGGTCATCAGGATCGGCCGGAGCCGGTCGCGCCCGCCGACGAGCAGCGCCTCGCTGCGGTCCATCCCGCCCCGGCGCAGCTTGTTCACGTGGTCGATCAGCACGATCCCGTTCTTGACCACGATCCCCATCAGGATGAGCATCCCGATCTGGGCCATGAGGTTGAAGGGGCTGTTCGTGAAGAGCAGCGTCCAGCTCGCGCCCCAGAGCGCGTACGGGATCGAAATCAGGATCGCGAGGGGGTGGATCAGCGATTCGAACTGGGCGGCCATCACGATGTAGATCAGTAGCAGCGCCAGCAGGTAGTTCACCGCCATGGTCTGGAGATCGGTGTCCTGCCGGCTGATCCGGTCCCCGAAGGACCACGAATAACCGGCGGGGAGGGCCATGGCGTCCAGTTCCTCCTCGATCGCGCCGCGGGCGTCGTCCCACTCCTCGCCCTCGTAGCGGCGCGAAGCGTCGCCACCGCCTTCCGGTCCACCCGCCGGATCGCCCGGCTGCGTTCGACGATCTCGAAGTCGGCCAGATCGCCGAGCAGGATCGGGACGCCGCCGTCGGAGATCAGCGTGAAGTTTTCGAGGTCCTCGACCCGGGAGACGTCCTTTTGGGACATCGTGAGGAGCACCTCGGCCTCCCGGTCCTCGGTCTGGAAACGCCGGAGCGGCCGGCCCCCGAGCGTGAAGCCGAAGATCTCGGCGAGGTCCTGCGGGGTGATGCCGAGGCGGGCGGCCTCCTCGAGCCGCGGCCGCACCACGACTTCCTTCCGGGGCGTGTCCTCGGTGCTCCGGATATCGGCGACGCCCCCGACGCCCGCGATCCCGCGTCTCGGCGCGCTGCGCGAACTCGGCGAGCCTTTCGGAGTCCTCCCCGTAGAACCGGACCCGGAAGAACATGCTGTCCCCGCCGGTTTCCTGATCGTCGTCGCCGAACACGATCCGGGTGCCGGGCAGGACGGGGAGGGCCTCCTTGACCCGTTCCTTCATTTCCTTCCCCTCGGCGTCCGAGAT